CAGCCTTAATGATCAGTTTCAACAATCAGGCCGAAGATGCAGAGCAGTTTATTTCTGCTCACTGTGATGGGTAAGTGATCATTTCACCTGCTTTATAGTTCTGCTACTTTTACTGCTGCATGTAGGTTAAGTTTCAAAAACTCTCTCAAAAGTCACTTAAACTTCAAGGAAGACTGTGCGACTTTTTGATCCAGTAGATGTCGCCCTCGAGCACCAGCATGAAACCAAAAACAGACACCTCTGCTACACTGAAGCAGACAAACGTATCCTCTGTTCGAGCCGCAGTCGCCTGTGTCCTGCATTGTTGTGTTAGCAGGCTAATGTTAGCACACTTTAGTTAGCCCGTAGCTTCACATTGCATACAAATGAACACAGAATGAGCGTGATCTAAAAACGCTTACGTGACATCCAAATGATCAGTTTGTTCTTCTTCTCTCTAGTCCTTGACTTAAACAGCTTTTATACACAAGGGGAGGAGTTGACCGTCCGCTCCATGTAAACATGATATAAACACGGCAGCCGGCGATACTCACTCAAGACTCACAGATACATTTACATACTTGATTTCTGCCGTATTAATGAGTAACATTCTTTCTTGATCTGGACTCATAACACAGCTGGCATAGAGAAAGAAACCACAGCTGGCATTCACACTCTGCTAAGTGGCCCCAAGTTGTCACAATATGACGTGCTGAGTGTTACTTTTCTTGTTTCAGGTCAGTGTTTCCTCGTCACTTGTCACCACATTGAGTACCACCTCATTGAGGAGGCAAAGACCTGGGATGAAGCTCAGAGATATTGCAAAGAGAAATACACAGACCTGGCTACAGTGTCTGACATGACAGACATGAAGAGACTCCGTGAGATTGTGAATACACAGGAAGCGTGGATCGGGCTTCAGAGCAACCCAGGACAAGCCAACAGGAGGTGGCACTGGTCTTTGCCAGGGACGCAAGGGGTGGCGTTAAGCGATCTTAAGACTTACTTTCCTGGTCATGAGCCAACTCCTGGAAACTCTCCTGAGAACTGTGCGCGGATTGTTGGTGGAGAATTACTTGATACCCCCTGTGATATAAACAAGACATTTATATGCTTCAATGGTAAGAAAGTTATACATACATTATTTTACACTGTACTTTAATTAAGGCAACATCTGAACCCAGAGTCAAGTAATACTCATGTATCTGAAATTATGGTTTGTGTGTTAAGTTAGGAAATGTGGTAAAATATATGTTTCCTATGAACATCTACAGGAACGGAGGAACCCCCAAAAAGCTTAATTTGCATCAATGAGTCGATGAACTGGACACAGGCTCAGAATTACTGCAGAGAAAATTACACAGACCTGGTCAGTGGACTAGATCAACTAGCTCATTTAGCTGACTACTCTAAAAGCCATTGCAGTCCTGAAAGTTGGATCGGCCTGTTCAGAGACACCTGGAGTTGGTCGGATGGGAGCAACTCATCTTTCCGACACTGGAATCTGGGTTTGCTGAAGGATGGAGTCAACAAGGAATGTGCAACTGTGTTAAAGGGAGAAGGAAAATGGGACTCTGCTGCCTGTGATAAAAAAAAACCCTTCGTCTGCTATGATGGTACGTTTAGCAAAGGTCTGCCTCGATTGTTTTCTCCAAGCAGTGAATCAGTCAAAAGATCCACCAGAATCTGCAGTATTTATATTTCTAGTTTATATATGTTTTGGTGAGGTTTATTAGGTAGAGCACCTTTGACAGAGAATGTTTTAGAAATATAATGTAGATATTATAATACGAGAATTTGACTTAATTGCTGAGGGAAGTCAATAAAAACCATTAGAAACCTTGGAAGCAATTCTATCACATACAATAAAAAGAACACCAGTCTTTGAATATTTAAGGAAAGTCAGACGAATTTACAAACAAAGTGTGTTATCAGGCAAGTAGACTTAAATGTCATCAGATTAACAAGTTAATTTATTGAGTATAGTTAATCGAATATCATATTGGCCACGGTGGGGTTAAGTGCCAAAACAGACTATGTTTAGTTTTTACACGGCAAAAAATTCATCATTGAGAGATACATTTGACTTTTAAAAGAAATCAAAAGGAAGTCTGAGTTTTAATCAGAGAATGCTGCTTACAGATGAATAGCACAAGTTCAACAAACAAATAGGAGTTTGTCCACAGGGGGGCGCCACAATCAACGTAAACCAAACATTCCTCACGGGAGCTTTAAGCGACTGTTTTGCGTTAAAGCAACAATGTGTCATTTTTCCAACTTGAAATAGAAGTTTCAGAGTCGGTCTAATAGAAAAATAACTTTCAACAGGGAGAATGGTGTCAGTCCCATGTCCACAGGGCGACCCCATTTCCTGTTTACATCACTGTGTCACTTTGGCATAAAAGTGTGCATTGGGCTTTACGACACTAGTTCACACACCAGCATTAACTTAGAAAAACTGCCAGTTAGCCCGTCTCTGTTCTGTTTGAAACAATGGCCGAGGCTAACAAATTGAAAAGGGTGACGGCGGATGAAGTTGAGAGGAGAAAAAAAATAGAGTACCTCTGAGCAAGAAGCTAGCCTAGAGTAAATATTGGACATGATTTTACACGTTGCAGGATACAGTAAGCTGCAAGTCCGGTGCCAAGCTGGCTATGTCACTTCACTATGAGTGTTTTACGACAGGGCAGTTGCACTCAGAGACCGTCGGTGGGCGTCAAAACTCACCGATCGAAATTCCTCTGTAACGTTTGCTCAAAGAGGCGTGATCTAAAGTGACATTTTTCCTGTCCCGTTCACTAACTTTTGAACATATAACGATAGATTCTGAGGATATCTGTTGGTTTTCAACAATGGCAAACAACGTTTTCAACATTTGCGTTTGTGCTGTGTCATTTCTTTTTTTCCACGACAGACAAAGTGATCCTGATCAACGAAGTAATGACGTGGGAGGACGCTGTCAATTACTGCAGAGAGAACCACCGTGACTTGGTCTCCATCACCGACCTTCACCAGCAGAGATGGGTTGAAGCCAGAGCCAAAGATGCTTCAACCGACCATGTTTGGCTGGGATTGCGCTACACCTGTCTTATGGATCTGTGGCTCTGGCTCAATGACAATCTGGTCACCTACGAGAATTGGGCTCACTCAGACGGAGAGTGTGGCGAATGTTACCATGCTGCAGCCATGAACAAAAGTGGAAATTGGGTCAAAAAGGATGATAATGACGAGTTTAATTTTATCTGTGCTTTAAAGTAAACACCCAACCTAATCCCTTTATATTTCTGCTGGATTTTCCTCAAAGGCTTTATATGCAATTTTTCATACTTAAATATAATAGAAATCAAGTATATCCTCTGAAAATAACTCTGTGAGTCATGACTGTCTACAATGGGTGTAACACCCGAGTCCCACTGTCTGTGATGTTTTCAGAGTTTTTTTTCTGTTTGTTTACATCGCCAGCCCGACGGCTGACTCCTCCCCTCACGAATAAATGTTGTTTAATTGAGGGACTAGAGAAAAGAAGAATAACATACTGTACTCACTGCTTAACTGTGTTTCTAGATCATGCTTATTTCGGATAAACTTACATGCAGTGTAAAGATACGAGCATAATAAAGATCGCTAGCATTAGCATGCTAACCCACAATGCACCGCGAGTTGTTTTGGTTTCATGCTGGTGCTCAAGGGCGACATCTGCTGGATCAAAAAAATTGCATATAAAGCCTTTAAGCAACAATAACGCTCTCTGTTGTTGCAGTTAAAAGAGTGGTTATATAACAAATAACAAGGATTTATGAAATGAATATGGCTTATTACTTATTATTAGCCACACTACAGCTATACAACTTTTCAATCTATCCGCTCATTCAGAATCAAGAAAGCTTCTTATTAAAGTAGTTAAGGTTTCTTGTGTGAAAGTGTGACTCTTTCAGCATGCCTATAATGTTTGCTTCTCACAATGACAAAATATTTGACTTTTTTTTTTGTTAAAATTTGGTGGTGGTTACATCATCTAAAGCAAGTGATTCTCAACTGGTGGGTCTGGACCCAAAAGTGGGTCATGGAGATGTTTTCAGTGGGACATGAATGTGCGCCTGGGAAAAAAAAAGAAGTAAAGTGGTGTCAAAAAGTTCATCAAGCCCTTTTTTAAACATGTTTGTTTTGTTCTGTCAAATTTGGGTTAAGATTTTTATGTACAGCATATTTTTTTTTTTGTCTTGATTACATTTTTCAGTTTTATGTAGGCTAAATAGATGATTTACTCATAATGTAAGCTTTACAGGTTTGTTTGTTGTTTGTTTTTAAAATGAAAAATTGCAACTGTCTGTAAATAAAATTAAACGAATAAGCTGATTAAAGTGTAAACGTATGTATTTGTCTAACCATGATAGTTAAAGATGACCTATTCAACAAGAAACACACTGAAAACAACGCCATGCAAGGCTCGAGCTCTAACTCCTGAGTCGTCGCGCCCTCTGGTGGCCATTCAAGGAATCTCACAGGAGACCAACTTGTTTAAAGGGGGATTATAAGGACACCATAAAGAGTTTGTAATAAAGAAAGGCGAAAGGGGCCTGAAGAAACACTTAACTTTTACAACTTATTTTCACAACAAGTTATTAACCGTCAAATAAAATGACAACCTCATAAGAGGGATAGTTTGTCCCAGTGTTCATCTGGGTGGTTCTAGTCTTAGAAATAAAAGATTTTTTGAATTATCTATACATTTTTCTATTACTTTTTTAAAATGTAATTTCAACATTCAACCAATCAATTCAGCCCAATTCAGTAAAGGCAATGTTATGTTAGTTTAACCATTATTGTGTGACATAAAACTCTGACCGTGACCGAGCTTGTCAAAGAGATTGTTTATATTGTCACTGAAACATTTAAACAAAAAAAAAAAGAGGTGACGAAGAAGGAAGGAAGGAAGGAAGGGAGGAAGGAAGGAAAGATTGTGACGTCTCACTTGTAGTCCAGCTCGAGCGCTGTCACCCCGCCGCTGCTTGTAGGCTCCTATCATAATCACTCCCAGTTTATTTAAAACAAAAGTCAAGTGTTTACGAAATGGAGGGTCTCTACGAATTCCTCGTCTTCTTCGAGTGTGCAAGCGTGGACGGAGAGCAGAAGAAGAAGATCGAAAGTTACTTTAAAATTCGCCGTAGATCCGGAGGAGGGGACTGGACAAAGAAAGGAGTTGGACCAAAGTGTTTACTGTAATGGATGTACCAGCTAACAGATAGCCACATTTAGCTTGCCCATCATGTTTGTTGGTGAATGAATCGGTTAGTGTGTGGTGTGCTGAGTTGGTCATCTTGTTACTCTCAACACGCTATAACAACAGAACTGTTTAAATCTGTCATGATTTGTCATCATGTGTGGGCGCTCTCCCATTTTCAAAATCACTTCAGGTTTTTTTTTGTTTTTTTGCGTGTGCCAGGCCTAAGATAACCTGTCCCAGCTGCACCACCCCACAGGTCTGAGCTGGGGACATCCATGCAGGTGCTGTCCTTCTTTGTGCAGAAATGCAAGACCGCCCTCTGCAGCTAGAACTGAAGCGATGCATTTCCTGAACACCATATTCTGCCCACAGCAAAAGTTTGATAACGCAGAGTATGGGGTCACTGGCATGCCATCACTGCATTGCACAAAAAAAAGCATCCACAAAACAGTTCCTGGAAAAATATGGAGGACGAGATCTGACAGAAGTATAAATAAATAAATGTATAAATAAATACTGGAATAAATAAATAAAAGAATCAATAAATAAATAAATAAATGCGTGAATAGATAAATAAAAACTGGTAAATGAATGGGACCTAAATAATTGAATGTCATAAATGTATTTCTACATTTATTTATTTCCACATTTACTCATTTCTACATTTATTTATTTCCACATTTACTCATTTCTACATTTATTTATTTCTAGTTGCTGACCAGCTTGAGAACTGTGAGTTTATTTTGAGTATGCCAGATAGTATAACTAACTCACAGTTCTCAAGCTGGTCAGCAACTTCCCGCAGCAGGTCTGCCAGCGGTCTCCCGGTTGAAGCCATGCTAGTCTGCTTAATGTCAACAGGAAGTCTCGCGAGGAATAGATCTGACTGGATCGCTC